GCAACTCCTAGAATGAGATAAGGGGGGCTCGAACAAAGAGACACAGAGACCCTGTTATAGGGAGGATGATTCTGCTGATTTAGGAGGGAGGCGCCTGGACTTTACTTCACAGCGCACTCTCCGGAAAGAGGGTCACTAGCGAACACTGTGAAGACTGCTACATCTTCCCTCCACCACTGAAGTCCCTCACCCTTTAGGTGCTCCCTCCTCTCTCCGCAGTGATCTGGCGGTTCGTGCAGGGCAGGAGGAGCAGCCGGCAGGCGGTGCTGCTGCTGGGCCTCTGCGATGCGGGGAAGACGCTGCTCTTCGCCAGGGTGAGAGGGCAGCCGCGGCCGGGCGCGATGGGGGCGGCTCGAGCGGTGGCCGAAGGAGCCCCGGGCCGCAGAGCTGCCCGGCTCCAGCCGCCTGTCCTCCCCTCGTCCTGAGGGGAAGGTGCTCCGAAGGATTTGCAGGCACATTCTCTTCCTTCTTGCTTTAGCAATGTGGAGATTCGGTGTGTAAATAGATTTTTTTTTTCTTAATGTTTTTTAAATTTGGGAAAAAAATCCTGAAATTGTTTCATGCATGTAAATTGAAATCGGATAGCTGAAGTCTGTTACGTCTTAAGGGTCATTTCAGTTTCTGAATGGGTGAAAGGCAATGCCAGTGTTCCTCCAGCTTCATTTTTCTGAAAATGACTTTTTTTCCACAGCTGTTGACAGGCAAATACCGTGATACCCAGACTTCGATAACTGACAGCTCTGCAGTTTACAGAGTCAGCAATGACAAGGTGAGCGGGCAGGTTTTTGGCTGTAACTTTTGTGTGGTTCCTGCATCCAGCTGGTGCCTTTGTTTTTCTGCTCCCTGTGCTAAACCTGGCTTCACGCTTTTTGTGCTGCTCAGCCTTCCCAGCTTGAAATCAGTTCCAGTTTGGTCTGAATGTAGCATAGGATTTTTCTAGGCAATACGCATTGAGACAGTAGCAAAATGCCAGGAGGTATTCATGACTTCTCATGTCCGCAGTTTCTTTTTTCTTTGCTTGTCTGTCCTGGTTCAGCCAGGATAAAGTTTTCCCCAGCAGAGAGAGAGGGGGAAGGGATCTCCAGCCGGGTTATTCATACCATGCTGATGTCAGGTCCAGGGGCGGAACCCTCTTCCTTGCTTTTTGGTGGTTCGGGAGGGAATTTTGCTTTCCGTAGACCAGTTAGCGGTATTTCTCTTTATATAGTTTGTCTTGTTCACTGTTATTGCTGTTTATTGTTGTGACCATTGATACTGTTGTTATTCAGATTGTTCTATCACTCTGCTGTATTAAATTTCTTGTTATTTTAGCCAGGGTCTGTGTCTTAACTTCCAGCCCGACCGGCGCGAGTGGGGGAGGGGCAACGGCAACGTGCTCTCCGATTCCGGCAGGGCTTAAACCTGCACATTGTCAAAGTGTGAAACCTGTTTAACTGAAAGCCACGTCCGTGTATTGCATTTTGAAAGGCAGGTAGTGTGTGGAATTTTTTCTACAGAAGAGGAAAAGGAGCTGCTTTTACAAGTGGAGTAAAATGCACGTCAATGAGGACAGTGGTGTGGTTCAGAGCAGGAAGGAGATTTGTGAGGGAACATGATTCTCGTGTTTAGTTTATTTGCTTGACGGTAATTTCAGTGTGTCCCAAGAAAACCTGAATTTAAAAGCTTTAGCAGGCTTAAAAAGAGTCTTCGTATGGCTTTAAAAAGGGTTATGGTTACTTTCAGGTCCTGGGCTGCCACAGACTTAGTTATTTCAGTTGGTGGTGATCTTTTTAGTATCAGAAAACTTGCTTGTGCTAGGTGCACATGTGGCAGTGAAAGCAGCAAGCTGGCAGCACGTTATGTGCTGGTGAATTGTAAAAGTAGAGGATGTTTTTGTGGCTTCTCTATGGCAATCTTCAGTAACAGTGGTGATGATAAGAGGTTAAAAACTTAGTAAAGGGAAATGTAGGGCTTTTTTTTGTATGTCTGTAAGACTGAGCAGGCAGGAGGTATTTGGAAGAGGAGAGGCGATGGACTGCCACAGTGCAGACTATTGTTTTTCTTTTTTTAAATTGTAGACAAGGTTTCTGTTACAATCCAAGACCAGTGAGTAGATAGGGTCTTGTGTAGTGTTCTGTCCCCTCTTGAGAGTAGTGACCGTTATCTTGAGAATGGTGACAGGGCCCTACTTGACCACAACTACATCAGGAGCTTGTGAGAGGCATTCGTGCTCATCCGTTTCACTGCTTTCTCTGGCTGGCAACCTGTGGAAAGGGAAAGGTTTGTACCTTTCAATTTAAAAAGTCCTATGTAAGGGCATTTTTATGTTATTCCCAGCAGAGTTACATGTATTCAGGTAGACGACTTGTAGTTGGGTGGATTGTGTGCGTGAACAGATAATTTGATTGAGGGACTGTAGGATTAGTATTCAGTACCAGGGGCTTGCAGGACAGGAGTTGATGGTTTTGCTGTGCAGAGATCTGCTTGCTATCAGGGACAGGTAAATCTGCTGGTGTACTGAGAGGTGACTGGTGAGGCTTTGTCACTCTCACTGTGCATGTGGTAGCTGGAGCGGGGGCACTGTGGATGAGAAGCAGACTGAACATTCTATTTTGCCTGTGGTCATGCTCTGTTCTCTCAGCTCTGGTGAGTGGTTTGTTCGTGTTTGCACCCTCCTTACTGAGTCCTGGCCATGAACATTGTTCCTCAGTGTTTCTTTTGCCTGTCAGAATTGTTTGGGCTGGTGGAGAGACTGCACCTCGGGGAGAGTTACGTGCTTCTGCCCGCTGTGGGGATTCACTCATCCACTGCTGCCTCAACACCAGGCTAACTGAAATCCACTATCAAACTGGTTTTCCCCGGTCTGTGATCACAGTTACCCCTAGATTAGGCGTTGCTGAAACCTTCTTTCTTCTGTTCCCAGAGTGCTAACGTGACCTTAATTGACCTTCCGGGCCATGAGAGTTTGCGGCTTCAGTTCTTGGAGAGGTTCAAGGCCGCAGCCAGGTAACTTGGAAGTCGTTGGCAGGGAAGGAGGGGCAGGTGATGTTTTGGTTGGGAATGATGTTGCTGAGGATGCTGTGAGCTGGGCTGGATTCACTCTCTGGTGGCACCCTGAGAGGGTGGGGTAGTGGGGTTTAGTTATTGTTCTGCTTTCTCTCTTCCCTGTGCTTGTAGTGCCTCAGGAGGCAAAGCAGCTGCAGCGGGGAGGGTTAGAGAATGTGGTATATCTGTGGGGCAGCAAGGGGAAGATTTCCTGCTGGGGCTGAACGCTGGGGCAAATACGTGGGGTGTATTTCAGCCAGCACATGCTCTTGAGTTGTATGAGATCGGACGTGGAAGCGAATGTGTTAGCCCAGGCTGGAATACTTGCAGGGGAAGGTGGTTGTAGAGATCCAGGTCCAGCACGTGTTTTCCCCTCTTTTCCTCTAGAGCCATTGTGTTTGTGGTGGACAGTGTGGCCTTCCAGCGGGAGGTGAAGGATGTGGCAGAGTTCCTGTACCAGGTCTTGGTCGATAGCACTGTGCTCAAAAATGCACCCGCGCTGCTGATCGCTTGCAATAAGCAAGGTATTGTGTGCTGCCTCGTGGGCTGGACATCGAATTCAGTTCTTGGGTGACAGGGCTTCATGCCAGGGACGTGGAATTTTTTAGGCGTTGGGATTTCAGCAAAACAAAGGCTGGAACTTAGTTTTAAACTTTGACTACTCATCAGGAACATTCCTAGCAGCTACTGGAAGAATTCTTAGGTCAGGTATGTCTAGTCATTTTGCAGAGAAGCACCACGTGGGAGAGCTACAGCTTTATAGGTAGGCTTAAGTAAGTCAGGTGGCTTGTGCAGAACTGTCTTCCTGAATCTGAAGTCAGCAGAAAATAGGATCAACTTGATCATAATGAATTATCTGTACACACTTGGTAGCTCCAGTGTTAAAATCAGACAGCTGTTCAGCTGCCAAAATTATGTATTTTCTCTTGATTGGACTAGCAGGAACATCCAGTTACTGGAAGTGACTAGATTTTCAGATTCCTACAACTTTTACAAGGACGGTGTGGATCCCTGTAGAAAAGACTGAAGCTTTTGGGCAGTGTTGGATTTGGGTTTCTTAGTACTTTTGGGGCACTATGTTGAGGAGCTGCCTGAGGCCTTGAGCTCTGTAATGCCAGGGTGGGTGAGAGTGCTGGGCCTTGTGGGTGGGACATCAAACCCCATCCTCTGTTTGAAGCAACTTACTGCCCAGCCAGAAGAAATTAATTCTGTACATTCTATGAGACACTTGGGTTGTTGCCACTCATGTCTGCAAACTCAAAGCTCCAGCATCCGTTATCCTAGTGCAGACAGCGCTGTCTTTGGTTGGTAACACTTAGGACGGCACAGTATGAGCAGCCCTTACTGTACCTTTAGAAGGAAGAACCAGGTTCTGAATTCTGACACAAAACCAAAGATCTGATTTCCCTTTCCTTTCTCTCTTTAGATGTCACAATGGCAAAATCAGCAAAACTTATTCAACATCAGCTGGAGAAAGAGCTGTAAGTATGACATTGAATCTTAAGAAGCTGCTCTCCTTTCTGCATCTGCATACCTTCAGTGCTCAGTGAGCTCCCCTGAGCCACATCTAAGTTCATTGTAGAAGAATTGTCTGGTTTAACTGTGTACGTGTAACTAGGATGAGGAAGATTGCTCCTTGCTTAAAGCACGCAGAAAAGCAGTAGACACAGTGTATTGCCTCCTTGAAGCTGTGGGCTGGAGAAACAACTCTCAGTCCTTTCCTAAAAGCTGCCATCCCGATGCTAAGCAATCCTTCCCACGGCCCAGGGCGCTGTTCTCTTAGGTACAGGCAGGATTGGCTTCCAAGTGCCAGACTTCCTGTGAGTGGTGTGAAGATCGTGGTAGCTCTGCTCGGTTGTACTGTCACAAGTTCTTTTTGCAGGGCTGCTCTGAGCTTGAGAGCTGAGGAGAGAGCGTCTTAGTTTTCCAGGTCTGCTGACAGGCATTGCAGGAGCCTGTTTGGGACCCCACGGTGGCTCTGTTTTCCCCCTTAGGAAGGATGTTAACCTGGGAAGATAAATGATGTGTGTTCTGTTGCTAGTTTAAAGTTGTAAGAGAAGGTGGAAGGAGGAGAAAGTGGCTTGTAGTGTGCTATGTTGTAAGCTGCTGGCTTAATGAGCTGCAGTGTCAATGGCTGGCAAGTCATCTGGGGAGGGGGCAAGTAGAAGATTTTTTTTTTTAAGCTATATTTCATCTCTTGTGAGTTGTGTTCTTGTAGTTGGGTCAGGTCTGCTTTGAGTGCAGCTCTTGTGCCGTGGTGAACTTCTCCACCAGCATCTGTCAGAGATTTTTCCTTCCCCCTACATGCTCAGAACTGTGTATTTTGCCTTCCTGTCACTTCTGGGTCCTGTTTGCTGGTGTGCAGGTAGTGGCCAGGCAGTCCTTGGGGGAGGAGGAGGAGTGTAGCTCTTTGCTCTCCAAACAAATTAATGTTTGTGGGATATGGCCATCTTGTTGCCACACGGTGATCTTGGCAGTGTTAAGTTTACCGCTGGGCTCGATGGTCTTAAGGATCTTTTCCAGCCCAAGGGATTCTATGATTCTATAATCTCTTTGGCCAGTAGACGGCAGCAGGGCTATTTGTGCTGATGCCTCTTCCAGGCTGAATACCCAACGTTCCCATTTTTAAGGGAGGACTTAGTTGCTACATATTCATGTTGTCCAGGAAAATAAGTGTTCCGTGGTTCTGATGTTGAGCATTTGCCAGTTACCTATTTGTAGAAGTTGGATTTCTAGGTAGGTTATATTATATATATGCATGCCCTGTTAGGCAGATTGCTGCCATCCTCCTCCCTGCACTGCTGTACCTGGATGTCCTTGTGTGGAGAACCCAGGGAAGCGTCTGCTCTCTTATTCCTGAATGCAAGCCTCTGGGCAGCGTTGTTCTTTCCCTGTGCCCCATTAATGTAGCTCCCTCCTGTGAATAAGGAATAGCTGGGGTTGGCTGAGAGCAGGCACTCTTGTCTCTGACAGAGATGCAGCACTCCCATCTGTGAGGCTCTGAGGCAGTCAGCGACCCAGGCGAGATTGCTGTTTGCATCTGTGCCTGGTGCAGTCCCTTGACTTTTTGTGCTTTTGGGGACCTCGGAGGCAGTCAGACTGTGGCACCTCTGTGTCTGTTGTGCTGCTTCTTCTCGTTGTGCTGCCTCTGCCTTGGATGCCTGCTGAGTGTGTGCGAGGAGATCCAGCCTACCTCCTGACACGTGTCAGGGAGTTGAGACGCTGCAGTGAGCCGAAGGGCAGCAACAGAAGTGACGTTGCAGCCAGGTGCTGGGGCAGGCATTGCTCATGGGAGCTGTGGGGAGACTCGATCTCCCCCTCAGTCCCCAGAGGTATTTGGCACACTCAAGTGGCAGCGGGGTAAGCCCTTGCGTGATCCCTTCTATCATGGGTGCCTCTCCCCAGTTAACCTGTTAAAACTAGTGCAAATCCTGAGCACTGTGGACTAAACCATGTGTAATTCCTGGTGACTCTTGTCTGCCAGGGGGATATTGGTGAAATTCAGATGGAGATACCATGGCCTGAATTGCTGTTTTTTATTACAAAACCAAACCTGCTTAAGCACCCTCTCCTCGAGTGGTCTCCTCTTGCACCTCTCTGCAGTTGTGCCTTCCAGCAGGTATTTACAAGTGGCTAAAGTGCCTGCCCCTCACAGGGCAGAGGCATGGGACCTTCTATCCTTGATGTAGCTGACATCCTGCTGACAGAGCCGGGTCCAAAACATTTTGGTAGCTATGGTGTAAGTAACGTACCCCTGGCTCACAGTTCTTGACCCTTTCCCTTCTCTGTCTGCAGCAACACCTTACGAGTGACCCGCTCTGCAGCCCCCACCAGTCTGGATGGCTCAGCCACCGGCAGCCCTGCCCAGCTGGGGAAGAAGGGCAAGGATTTTGACTTCTCCCAGCTACCCATGAAGGTGGAATTCGTGGAGTGCAGCGCTCGGGGCAGCAAGGGAGAGGAGGGAGATGCGGATTTTGAAGGCCTTGAGAAGTGGCTGGCCAAGATTGCCTGAACGGAGAAGGGCAGGGCTGGAAGGAGACACTTGGGGAGACTGGGGGGCGGGACACTTGGGGACTGAAAGGAAAAGGATTGTCTGAAGCACTCAAATCTCATCTTGCTGTAGAAAGAAAAAAGCTGGAAATCAACATTGTGGTATCTTCCTCATGGGCTTGGGAGCAACATGACACAATTGCTGCTGTGATTTCCTCTCTGACTGTCTCTTCACACTGGAGCTTTTTTTCCCCTCTTCCTTTGTATTCCTCTGGGGTGCTGACCCTCTGAGCTTCTGTGTTTCCTTCATCTTTAGGCTTTTCATTTGGTGGTTGCCAAACAAATTAGGAAGGAGTGCACTGCCAGGTGAGTTTTAGAGATTGCAGTGCATGTTGTCTTTGCCTTGGTTTAGCATCGCGGTCCTGTTGCCTCTGGGAGCTGCTCTCCTGATTTGGACTTCCCCAGCCTCTTGCTGCCTGGGAGCACCATATCCATCACCTGTGCTGCCCTTGCAGAGTGCACAGACTCTATCGGTTGGGCAGTAGCTGAGGAGATTAGAAAAGCTGTTTTCCTCCGTGTCTCCTACCTTCCTGTTCTTCCAAACTGGTGCAGTCCCATTGCTGTGGGACTGGAGTGGTCTTTTAAATGCCCAAACCAGGCTGGCTGCTCTGCTTTTGTGTGCTGCCTGTGTCCAGCTGCGGTGCCCCTGTCTTTGGGTGATTTCCACTGTTGGACAGTTCTTGGGAGTTTTTCTTTAACTGAGGGCTGTGTCCTGAAAGCTTGTTTCACTCTGCTTCTCCTTCCCATACTTGAGGCTGCTCTTCCACAGATATGTAAGCACACTGCAAGTGGCAGAGTTACAGTAGAGTGTCTTAGCTTGAAATGATGAGGTGGGTGCAGTTTTAGATTCATACCTACATTCCGTGTGAGAATCTGGTATGACAGACGTTTGCTGTGCACTCCCCTGCCTGTCTCCTGCTCCAGTGACTGCAGTTAAGATCTTTTTTTGTGTGTAATCAGTCAGCAGTTGTGGTAAACTGAAAGTCAAGGAGCTGCTAGCACATTAGTGTGAATCCTCCTCCTGAGGAAGATGCTCAATGAAGGAAAGAACTGTGAGATTTTCCCAGTTGGCTCTCATTTGCCTGTGGTGTTTAAAGCCAAAATTGCTGCTGTGTGTGGGGAAGGTTGAGGGAATGCCTGTCCTGTAGCTGTCTCAGTGGCTCAGGAGGCTGCTTGTAGGCTTGGCGCATTGGAGGGCTCTGATTCAGCATGGAACTGGCCGAGGGACATGTGCTCTCCTCCTTCCCCATGTCGATTATCTACAGGGAGATCTTCCAGCAGTTTTGGTGTTAGTCAGGTGGAGTCAAGACCCTGGTGCTGTGCTGGGCATTCAGCTTCCCCTTCCTGAACAGCCTTAAGCCCTGCCCAGCAGCTTCAGACAGCTTTGTGGGTGTCACTTCTGAGCAGCACCTACATGAGGATGATTGCTCTCCACGTTGCATAGCGTGAGGTCCTCTGGCATTGAAATTTTGCCTTTTTGTTGCTTCCCCTTTTGTTTTAGGGTAGGATGGAGTAGCTGGCTCCTGATAGACCCTCTTTGTCCTTTGCAGGCTCCTCTTCTGTCTGGTTTGATGCTTCATCATTCAGCTGATCTATTGTGTTCTTTTCCTTTCTGTCTGGGGCATTCTCTGCCTCCCTGTGGCATTGCCAAGTGTTAGTAGCATTGGGAAGAGCAAGAGCACCCTTCCTCAAGGACCTGTGCTCGTGGCAGAGCTGGGCCTTGCATTTCTAGTCCTGTGAACCCAGTGGCTCTTCTGCTATCCGTTCAGGAGGTGGGGAGGGTTATATTTACGGAGTGTTTATATTCTACTATTACCTGCAGCCAGAGTGTTGTTGGAACATGTTTGTCATGCTTTGAACTCTAGCTGGAGCTCCTTCCTAGGCCTTGCTTTGACTCTATATTGCTGACATGAGAATATTGCTGTTTCTTTGGGTGGTTATCCTGCTTGCAAAGACCTGTCTCCTTGAAAAGCAGAGGCCAAGCACCAGCCTCTGCTGGGGTAAGGGGGGAAGGTAGCTTGAGGCCATAATTGGTTTTAAGTTATTCTAAGTATTCCTTAAATAAAATGTTTTTGCTTAAGTGTTTGTTCTCAAGTCTTGCTTTAATCTGTCTGTATTGGCCCTTTCTCATGAATTGGGTCTTTGCTTCTGCTCAACACTGGAGATCAACCTTCCTGCTTGGTGGCCAGGTCTGTCTTCTCAAAAAACAATGTCTTCTCCAAATAATGTCTTCTCTTTGGGTTGATTTGGTTTTTTTGGGTGTGTGTTTACTCCTTAGTCTGAATGTTAGAGACTTGGCTTTGTGCTGGCAGGGCAAGTTGCTCCTCAGGCTGCAGTCTGGCAGCCAGTGTGTTTAGATGTCTGTGGCAAGGCAGCAGGATGTGATAAACTCAGTCCCTTCTGCTCCAGCTGCCTGACCCAAAGTCAGTCACCCTGCTGCATTTACACATCTGCAGGGATTGAGGCTTTCAGTGCATTTTGAAGCTCTTTTGATCGATGTTTTTTTTTGCTATGGATTGTGCTTTGCCTGCAGCTTGCTCCCCTGGAAAGGAAAGGTGCTTTCAGGGGGGATCGACAGGCAGGGTGAGATCCAGGATAGCAGAAACCACATGAAAACAGGAGAGAGTGCTGAAAGGCGAAGAAAAGCAAAAATAGTCTGATGCCTGAACACTGACATCCCCATGGTAGTGGTTTCCAAGGGTCAGTCACAGTTCCAAACACATAGTTTTGGGAGCTTTCCTGTGCATAGAGCCCTTGGCCAGCTCTTTAGACACTTTTGGGGCTTCTGTGTTGGCCTGTTTGGGCCACCTCGTATGCTTTTGCTGGCCAGCACCTCCTGGGGCTTGCCCAGCCTGATGTTACCCCTGATGGGCTGAAGGTGAGAGCAGAGATAAGGAAGGTCATGGGGGTGTTAACCTGCCAGGTGGAGGGGAAGAGGAGGAACATCTACAGACCTTGTTTTCATAAAGACTTGCTGATGGAGAGCAAAGCCAAGTCAGCTCCCCTCCTGCCCTCTTCTCTACTCTCCTTTTACTCCCTCTGTGAGTGTGGCTGCAGCAGGGCTGTTGGCCACAAGCACAGTGAAAAAAAAGTCATGCTGTGTGCTGCACAGCAATGGTGTAAGGACCACAGAGGCTGAATAAATTGACCCTCCTGTCCCCCCCATCCCATCCAGGTTATCTCAATCTTAGTTTGTGATGGTGCCCAGGAGGGGATACAGCCACAGTGTAAGGGAGGAAGAAGGTGTAGTGGTGGCCCTGACTGCCCCCCACTCCTTGCCCACTGGGCCCAGGAGCCCCATCTCAGCTCAGTCTTGGCCCTTCAGTCCCTCACCGAGCTATGCTGTGGGTGCAGTGCTCGCGAACTCAGCAACAGCCCTGCCTGTGCCTGGCCACGGACCTTGCAGATCCTGGGCCACCCACTGACTCCAGCACCCTTTGCCATCTCAGCCCTGGGGACAGTGTTGCTGACCCCAACCAGCAGCACCTGCCCTGCTTCTCGGGTGGCAAATGTGGGAGCCGTGGAAGAGTTGGGACCTCAGAGCTGGTTCATTCACATCAAGCCCTTTTTTGCTATTGGCTTCACCTCTTGGCAGCATTGGCTCAGCAAGAGGGGTGCTGTGTCCTTTGTGCAGCACCAGACTCTTCAGCTGAGCTCATGAAGCAATTCCTGTGATACCTATGGGTCAAGCACTGCTCCTGTGTCACCTGCTACACGTGCCAGCAGCCCAGCAGCTCATGCACTGCCTGCTCCTGCCAGCCATCATCTCTCTTCCCAGGGTGGTGGGCTGCCTTCGTCCTGCCAGACAGGGCCAAGGTAGGACCGTGGGGCAGGAGACTCTGGAGCTGCTGCACTCCCTTCAGAGATGCCACAGGCAAGGATGCATCCTGCACAATCCTGCCTACTGCCCCTGCCTGCAGTCCTCTGGCATCCCAATGCCCACTCTATCTTATCTGCAATGCCCTTGAGCTGTTCCTGCAGCCCCGCACACCCTCCCTGGGCCATGCCTGTGGACTGCAGGCTCCAGCCCCTGCCTGCATCCACCCAGCTGTTCCTGCACAGCCTTGTCCTGCCTGTGGGGACAGCTGTTGGGGTGGGGAGGAGAGCACCAAAGCACCACACTTGGAAAAGTGACCTTTATTTAAAAAAAAAACCCCACAGCAACAAACCCCGACCTGTTCTGCAATAAAACCCTAGTGATAACTTTTCACAACATGTGTGCGGCGTCCACGCTGGCTGATGCGAGGGGCACAGGTGGTGGGGACACAGGGCAGCCCCACAGAGTTGGCAGCCATTGCCCCTGCTCTTGTTCCAGCTGGCAGGGCATTACCCAGCCTGAAATGTCACATTGGAGAGGGGACCATCACCCACTGCAGGCACATCTCGGTGTATGGGATGGGGCTGCGCTCATCAGCCCCCATCTACCTCCTGCTTCAGCTGCGGAAGGGGTTGCCCCCCTGCCAAAGTGATGGGCAAGGCCCAGCTGGAGAGCCTGGCAGCTGCCAGTCCCAGGAGGGGGCTGGCATGAAGCATCCCTCACCAGGAGCACAGCAGTGCTGCGGGCTGCAGGAGCAGAGCTCAGAGGCACTAAGGTGAAGTCTCTCCCTTAGGAGGAAAAACAAACCCAAAAAAGACAAAGTACTGGCAGTGGGTAATGGGCAGTGTGGAGTCAGTCCTCGGGCAGGCTACATCAGCCCTGCTGCCTTCTCCTGCACGTTGTACTCCTTGCTCCTCTTCACCTTCCAGCTGATGAGGGCGAGGAGGATGGTGCCCACCACCTTGTAGCCCACCTGCAGCCCCAGGTATCTGTTGGGAGAAGAGCAGGGAGATGCCATGTCTGGAGGTGGCACCTCCAGCTGGCACCAGGCTGAGCTGGAAACCTTCACCATGGTGATCCTCACTGGGGGGAATTGGGGACACATGGCTGCACCTTGATTACTGGGTTCAGTTTTGGGCCCCTAACTCCAAAAAGGCCATTGAATGACTCGAGCATGTCCAGGCACAGGTCTGCTGGGGAGCGGCTGAGGGAACTGGGGGGTTTAGTCTGGAGAAGAGGAGGCTGAGGGGAGACCTCATGGCCCTCTGCAACTCCCTGACAGGAGGGTGCAGAGAGGGGGGATGAGTCTCTTGAGCCAAGGACCCAGCACCAGGACCAGAGGGAATGGCCTCAAGTTGTGCCAGGGTAGGGTCAGGCTGGCTCCTGAGGAAGTATTTCTTTGCAGAAGGGGCTGTTGGGCATTGGAATGGGCTGCCCAGGGCAGGGGGGGAGTTCCCATCCCTGGAGGGGTTGGAGAGTCGGGCTGACCCAGCGCTGAGGGATCTGGTGGAGTTGGGAACGGGCAGGGTAACTGGAGGAGCTTCAAGGGCTTTTCCAACCCAGATGATTCTGTGATGGCAGGGGTACCTGTTCCGGAGGAAGTCGTTATTGTAGTAGGCACAGAACTGGCGCTGGGTGCACTGCTTCTGCCAGTAGATGCAGGAGGAGTCGATGAGCGCACCGAACATGGCCGGAGCTGGCAGCCAGGCTTTGGAGTAGAGAGGATAGAGTCAAGCTGCCCACTCTGCCCTGCCTGCATGCTGTCTCTGCTGTCCCCAAGGAGGTTCAACACCTCCTGGGGCTCGAGCAAGATTCTGAGCACCCTGCTACCTCCCCCCAGCCTTGTTAGGAGATGGACACTCACCCAGCAGCCTCATTAGTAAGAACTGGACACCAATAGCAAACGACTTCTCATCCTGGTTCACCACCCTGCAGGGGAGAAGCCACAGGAGGTCAGAGCTGCTGGCAGTGTCTCTGTGTTTGGCCAAGCATCTTGGCCTGTTGTCATGTTTAAGGCCTTGTTGACCCCAGCATGGGAACCCATCACATCATGAGTCCCCCCAGTGCCTCGTGACCATCCCCCTGCCCATTTCTCACCGTAAAACCATCATGTAGAGGGGGTTGTGGGACAGGCAGGCTATCAGGGCAGCAAAGGAGATAAGCAATATGGCAGGAAGGAGCATGTGGGAGCAGCTGAGTGGACAGGGGCCTGCCTTGGCAGAGGACAGCCCGTTCCCAGCAGGGATCAGGGAACAGTTCTTGTAGGTCTGTTGGAAACATTTGGAAAAAAAAAAAACAAATGTAAAACTCCTAAAGCCAAGAGTTTTGTTAGTGACACACCAGACCACATCACTTTGCAGAAGACTGACAAGAGCGTCAGCTCCAATTTTAAGGCACAGCCTTGGCACCCTGCAATGGGATGTGCCACTGTTCCCGTTTCTCCAAGCACGCTCCCAGGGCATTACAGCAATTCTCTGTTGCACCTGCTCAGGACTTCAGCATCTCTGGTGGACCTCCCCTCATCAAAAAGGCTCTACCATGCTATTGCATTTGTCAAGTTCCTACAGCATCACTGCAGCCTCCACCATCACCAGCAAGGTGCTCTGCAAACCACTTGTTTTACTCACCACTTGTTTGGGAGTGGAAGAATTAGTGGTGCTGTTTGTGCAGCCAGCAAAGCAGGGGGAGATGTACTCCACGTTGTTTTCTCCGCACACTGGGTGAAAGATGTGCTCAGAGCAGTGGCACCCACTTGGTGTCTTAACCTGTTGCTGAGAACTCAATGTACTGCCAAAAAGGAGGAGAAAAAAAAATTTAAAATTAAGAAATAGGACAGGAGGAAGAAAAATCCCTCATATTAGTTAGCCAGTTTCCCCACTCCTATTTGTGCTGGGACACTGCCAGCAGCAGGCTGGCCTTATGCCAGACCCTGATTCCCTGCAGGTACCTCTGCAAGTGTACAGTGAACTTAGCAGTAATTATGTTATGTCTGCAAACAAGTACTCACACACTTACTTTTTTCCCCCTCCCAGCTGAAAATTAATCAGCCAAATGCCTGGAGAAATGTATCTGGGTTCCATCCAGAACTGCACAAACAGATGTGCGAACAGCCCCAGCTGGAAACGCCATTCAGACAGAAACTGGAAGCGGGCTCGTTTCCAAACAAGCCTGACGACAGCATGAAAGTCAAGAGGACAAACCGAATTATCTGCCCTGTCTTGCCTCACTACCTAAGGGAGTTCATCTGCCGGAGCGGCATAGTC